TAGATAGAAACTCCCTTTTTCTTTCATCTTTTCTCATTTTCATCACAACTGGATATTGAGAATCCTGATCCACACTCCGTACCAGCCGGTGGCGGTAATGCACCATAATGTTATTTGCCAACCGCCGTAAAATACCAAAGAAGAAGAAGAAGCGAAGCACGGCCGTTCTCTCCACCGCTGTGGAGGTAAACATGGCGGCTGTCGGACCTCTGGGAAGAGTCGCTAGACTGGGCTCCAGCATCTGCAGGAACCATCGTTTACTTTCTAACAGAAGTCCACAGAGAAGAGGAATAGCTTCTTGTGTCGACCGTAAGTCCCAAAAAAAACACGAGTGAACAGTTAGCATCAGTTTAAACGACAGAGGATGTGTGTTATGAAAGAAAGTCTCAATGGCACCGGGTGACAAGTGAACTAGTTAGGTAACCGCTGCTTGTACTCACTTCTTACTGCTCTCCTACACACACACTTCTGACTTTGGATAAAACAAGATAAAGTAAACACACACACTGTCAGGGTTTTATTTATTACGTTAATATTACGTTTACCTGTGACGTTGTTAGCGGTCATTGGCTAGTTTTGCAACACCCCTCTTTTTAGGCAGGTTGTGTGATGTGTGAGGGAATTTGAGCAAACCTGAGTTTAATAATTTAATATTTAAATGATTCAAAATGTTGGACATATAAACGCATCCTGTCATCTTTTAGGATGTATTTCAAACCATGCTTTATTATATAATAATATGGTACCGTGTGTTCTCTGCTCTTTGTTGACAGCTGCTCATGGACTCACAGATGAACAGAAGGAGTTTCAGGAAGTTGCTTTTAACTTTGCAGCCAATGAAATGGCTCCGCACATGGCCGAGTGGGACCAGAAGGTGTGTTGGAGCTCAAATTGAGCTGTCGGTACTGTCATGTTAGAATGTCCAAATAAATGTCCAATTAGTTAAATTTCATCAACTGTAGGTATGTTCATTTTTTTTCGCCCCCTCCAGGAAATATTTCCAGTGGAGACCATGCGAAAGGCAGCCCAGTTGGGGTTTGGCGGGATCTACGTTCAGCCGGATGTCGGAGGAACGGGTCTTTCTCGGCTGGACACGTCCGTCATCTTTGAGGCCTTGTCCACAGGATGTGTCAGCACCACAGCTTACATCAGTATCCACAAGTAAGCACACCCAATATCACATTAATGGCACGTACCTGCAATCAAAACAAGATGGAAAGATGAATTATTAGGTTCTTGTTTTAAGTCAAGAGGATGGATTACTCTTCAATAAGTCCAAACTACATATAGTAGAAAACAATGTGTTTGGCAATTCATCCATCCAGATGTATTTCTTTTATTTGGTTCTTTGCTTTTTCATCTTGTGAAAATAACTAGGTAAATGAACTCCATTGTGTCCACTTTCCACCATAATGGGAACTATATTAAATAGCTGTGATGTATATTTTCTATGTATTTTGCCTGCAAATTCGCAGTCTGCTCCTTTCTTTGCAGCATGTGTGCCTGGATGATCGACACATTTGGCAACACTGAGCAGAGGGAGAGGTTCTGTCCAGACCTCTGTTCGATGGAAAAACTTGCTTCCTATTGTCTCACTGAACCAGGTCAGTCTTTATATGGAAAACATTGAATAAGGAAAGGGAGGAAAAAACTCAGAAATGTGTTGCAAATTCAAGTTTTTCTGTGCAACCTATCGAACCTGTGATCTGTGATTCCAGGCAGCGGCAGTGATGCTGCTTCCCTTCTGACCACTGCACAGCTGAAAGGAGACCGCTACATCTTGAATGGTTCTAAGGTGACTGCAGCCCCGTTCATGCCTGCGTTACTGTGAATCCTCTCTTTTTAAACGGTGAGCCAGAAACACGTGTCGTCTCTTTGTGACCCTGCAGGCCTTCATCAGTGGAGCAGGAGACACTGACGTCTATGTTGTGATGTGCAGAACGGGAGCTAAAGGAGCAAAAGGCATCTCCTGTCTGGTGGTAGAGAAAGGAACCTCGGGCCTCAGTTTTGGCAAAAAGGAAAAGAAGGTAGAGTTAATTGTTGTTTGATTTAATAATTTTGCTCTGCAGCTAGTGTTAGCAGGTAACCACTAGATGGCAGAAGTAAGTCACGGTCTCTCAAGATTCAATCTTTGAGTTTTTCAATCTGCTCTCCAGGTGGGTTGGAACTCGCAGCCGACCAGGGCGGTGATATTTGAGGATTGTGCCGTTCCGGTGGCCAACCTGCTCGGTGCGGAAGGGCAAGGATTCAACATGGCCATGAAAGGCCTGAATGGAGGCAGAATTAATATTGGTGAGGAGGAAAACACTACTCAGGTGTACTGTACTATAGTTAATGATGCCCAGATGTGTGATGTATTCCCATAGCTAGTGAAAATGATTGGAATCACACCAATCATGGAAATACTTAAAAAAAAATGTGAAGGATGTTTGTAGGAAGCTGACAAAGAGAAACCATGTAAGAAATTACAAATTCTTCCTCTTCATAAATTGAAAATGTCATTCGAAAGTAGTAATAGGCATCTTTGCTCTTGGTCTGGGATGAGCAGCATCTTATGGCAGCTTGAGTTCGCTAACGTTGGCGCACTTTATATACGTTCCTGTGTAACCGACATTAGTCGGTTTTCCAACTATATGAAGACCGACCCGTATCAACGTCGCCTGTTGTTGGTCCAACCATCAGCCGCTTTTATACAAAGGCTCTTCCAACAGCGTCCTGTTCTCTTGGGGCGGCTCATGCCTGTGTGCAGCTAGCGAGGGATCATCTGTTGGTGCGCAAGCAGTTTGGAGAGACGCTCTCCAACAACCAGGTAAGAAGCTCCTTTAAGAATCCTACATTCAAGTGTTTAGAAACTGTTTCTGCGAGATACTGAATTCATCCTTCCCTCTCTCCCTGTCCGTGTTGATGCGAGTAGTATCTTCAGTTCAAGCTGGCAGAAATGGCCACCAAGTTGGTTGCATCGCGCCTCTTGGTGCGTGAAGCTGCTACAGCGCTGCAGCAGAACCGGCCCGATGCCGTCTCTCTCTGCTCCATGGCCAAACTCTTTGCCACAGACGAGTGCTTTGACGTGAGTAATGCTGAGCAATGAAAGTAAGAGTTAAGAGAAGTTTGTCCTTATTTAATTTTTTCCCTACATTACTGCCTCTTCTTTCTCAACAGATCTGCAACCAGGCTCTTCAGATGCACGGCGGTTACGGTTACCTCAAGGACTACGCAGTGCAGCAGTTTGTCCGAGACATCAGAGTCCATCAGATCCTAGAGGGTGAGGCTGTCTGACTGTGTATCAGATTTAATATGACTCCCTTATATTTTAGGCAGCTGTCATGCTCTGTTTAACAACCACAGTTTGTGTGACTCTTTTTATTCTCATTTTGTTTCCCCTAAAGGCACGAATGAGGTGATGAGGATGATCATTTCCCGAAATCTGCTGACAGAGTCATGAGTCTTTCCCCTGGTTGCTCTAGCAGGGACCATATTGTAAAACGTAGGTTTTTCTAGAATAATTGTTTCATTTTTAGCGACACTGGCGGCATGGAAATCCACAAAATCGCCTGAGAACAGTTTAGAAAAGTTTGTAGATTTTTTTCATCTAAACATTTTCATGTGAGGCTGCTTGTGTGGATACAAACTGTTTAAAAGGGTTTAACACCAACGTCAGTGTTGACAGGGAATGGTTGCTCCTCTGTATGTATTGCATATCTATATCACATGCAGTCTCAGCAGCTGTGCCTTAAAGTGTCCTTTTACATCTTATTTATATTCACGGTTACTGTATTGTTACATGACGTGTGTACTGCCACAGATATAAATAAATGGGTTGTGTATTGTGGGTTGTGTAATTAAAATGTAACACTCCAAATTAAATAATCTCAGCTTTCATTAAATGAATCAGCCTTTTCATTGTCACCCTGAATCCCACTCTACTGTGAATGATGTACATTTGATATGAATTGTTTGCGTGAGTGAAGTTATTAGTCAGTCGCGCTAAACTCAAACACTCCAGAACACTTTATTGAAAACTGATCAACAATCAAAACTGCATTAAAAGTGCTACATGTAGCCTTTCAGCCTCAATAACTCACCAACACATTATAGTATACTTACAAGAAAACCACAGACCATCATCGGCAGCAGGGTTGGTCTAATACCATCCCAGCGAATAATGGTCTCGCATGTTTACAGTAATTATATCATGTTATACCAAGCACCTTTCAACAGAATAGTAAGAAACCATTAACTTCAACACTATTTTCGGTTACATTCCAACTACCGTAACAGGCAATATACTCCTAAATGTTCTCTCGGCAGATATCGACGTCATGGAACAATCTCTACGTGAACAGAAGTGGGTCAAAAGAACGACAAAATAAAGGTGAAATACCTGAACTGTGATTTTGAACTAGTGCAGTTAGCCTGAGAGAAGTGACTGAAGAGTGATCCTTACACAGCCATACGGATGGAAATATAAAAGTGTGTTAAATGGGTTTATATTTAGTTATATAAATGTCCAAAGCACAACTGTTTAGCAGGAACGTCAAAACTCTAAACTAGCTGTTCGTTATGGTTTGACAGCATCCAGACACTGTGCTCAGTTCATACAACTCTCTCTGTTTTATTTATATTGCCTAAAAAAAAAATCATAATGTTATTGGATATCCTTTTTTGAAAGTCTCTTTTAAAAGTGGGAATAAAAATATATTTCTTACAAAAAGAAAAAACTGAAATGAGCAAACCGAAGGGACCTGCGAGGCGTCTTCTTCTCTCACAACCTTCCAGGCGTTGGTGGAGAAGGTGCTTTTCCATTTCAAGGCATTCTGTCCCTCCATGCGGAGCCGCTGTCCTACACCAGGGAGCCGGCTTGGCTCTGAGCAGGCACCATGACGGCTACAGCTCCCATGCGCGTCAGAGTGGAGGAGCTGATCTGTGGGGACACAGTGAGTGGGGGGGGCACCTGTGGCTGAGCCCCCTCAGTCCTGTTGGGGATGGCGACCACGGGGCTCCTCAGGAGCTGCGGAGGGCCCCCGTTTGTGCTGGGGGGTCGCTTGTGTTTGCGCGACGGAGTGCCCCCCGTGTTGTAACCGGGAAGCCCCTGTAGCGTGCTGGCTTCTCCGGGCCGCAGCTGGTAGGCGTTGATCACCGAGCCGTTGGGCGAGTACGGGTAGTGGAAGTCTCGGGGCTGCGGACTGGTGGCGACGGAGGACAGTGTGCCGTTCTTGGATATGATGTCCGAGCCGGTGTTGCTCTTTGCCCACGACACTCGCTTTGGCGCCTGAGCGTCCTCCCTGTGACACCGAGAGCAAAGCAACAAGAAGCAGAATCTCATTGATGAATCAAATCAAAAAATGACGAGGAAATAGGGCGACACACATTCAGCTTCAGTGCTTTACACTCACAGTGAGTTCTGAGAAAAAAAGTACTTTTTGTAGATTTTAGAATTACCTTATACAGTATTTATTACAGAATATACAATATGAGAGCAACATATTTTGATACTACAAGTAAAAGTAGTTATAGCACAATACATATACTTTTGAATAGAAGTCCTGTGTGTAAATGTATTGTCAACAAAAGGAACTATCAAAAGTACTCATTAGGATTTTTCCTAATGAATAAAAAATTCTTATCAACTCAATATAATTAATAAATGCAGAGGCATAGACTGCTGCTTTTGATTTAACAAAGGGAACAATGCAAAAAGGGAACCGTGTGAGTGCTCGCCCTACTTATTATTGAATTCAATGGATCGACGCGTCTGTCTGGTGGTGCCCTAAAGAAATAAAGTTATTTTAATATGATTGCAATGAGTGCAGCCACTTCCCTCCTTGCTTCTTTCTTTTTTGCCTTCGAGTATAAAGAAACATAGAAATGCAGTACTCAAGTAAAGCGCAAGTATCTCAAAACTTCCGTACATTACTTGAGTAAATGTACACTTTGATTGTCTTTCCAGCACTGCAAATAAACAACTTGTTTAGCACACACACACAGACACACAGTGTCCACTTTATTAGGTACACTTGTACAATCTAATACAACTGTACTGCCTCAAAGTACTTTTACGATACCTGTGATCAGGTTTTGTTGACACCGTCATAAATGTGTTATATATGTTTTAGCATTGCGGTCACATCTTTTACTGGACTGCATTAGATCCAGAGGTGTTTCTAATATTCTGCCCCCCTCATGTATGTAAATAGAGAGGACAATATAAACAACCTCTCAGTATAATGCAGTCCAGTACAACACCACCTTTATCCTTTACACATCTCAATGTCACCAAAAGAACGGAACCTAATAAACTTGGTGAAGGTTATTGTTGTATTAAATTGCATTAGATTGTACAGGTGTACCTAATAAAGTGCCCACCCTACAGCGTATAGTTAAAACTCTCACTTGATCTCGTTGGCCATCTCCTCCTCAGTGTCCCCTCTCCTTCTCAGTATGAATATGAGGAAGAGCCCCATGGCCACCAGTCCCACTATGGAGCCCAGTGTAGCCGCTGCAATCATGCCTGCATTGGAAGCTGGGAAACGCATCACAGATCGGGGGTTAACACCGAATGGGATTCACAGCTGTGTGATGAATACGCGGGTGTGTAGCGGAGTAGAAATACTGTGTGCTTACAGGTGATAACCTCCAGGTTAATGGAGCAGCTGTCGGAGCCGGCGGTGTTGCTGGCTCGGCATATGTACTTCCCCGACATGCTCTTAGTGAGGTTGCTCAGCCTCAGGGTGCCGTGTCGCTCGTCTGCGAAACAAGCGCACAGTTACACACGAGTCCCCATCATATATTTATGTGATCTGTGCAAGAGGGCTTGGTAAAACTAGAAAATTATACAAGTCGACTACGCCACAATATCACACACTAGGGAGCTACTTTGCAAAAGTAACACACATAACTTTACTGCAAGTGTGTGCTGTGAAGATTATATCAAAACCTCGCATAGATCTTGTTTATAAAGGAAATGAAATAAGTCTTTTTCTTTTTGAGAGTTCAGCTAGTTTTGGGCTGTGTTGGATTAACATTTTTACTTAGGTATACCTGCATGTTGGCATGTTTGTTAATATATATAATTGCGACGACCCCTCTTCTTGGTGCGTTCGGTGCGCTCTCTGTCTCCAGGCCTGCAGACCTTTGGGAGAGTAATCAGGGTGATTGGACACACCTGGTGTGCCTCATGCATGTGAGCCAGAGCAGCAGCAGCCTGTCGTTAGTGGGCAGATGTGGTCTCACCGCACATCTTTATGTGGTAGCTGTTGGTTCCTTTATGTTGTTGCAGCATGTTTCCACCCAAACACAACTGACTTTACAGATTCCTCCCATCTATTGGTTTGACTCGTTTTGCTCCTAATAAATGAATATATTCGTTAGTATACTAGTGTGTCTGCTGTTTTTGTCCAACTCTAAGAGCCGCGCTGTGACAAAATGCATTAAATAAATACACCGATTCCTAATTCACTTATTGAAAAATTATGATATTTTCCTATTCGTTTACAGATATAATTATGTATTTTGTAGAACAGTCATCTGTATCATTATAGCATCAATGTGTGCAACATATGGCGATGTTGAGTCATTAGTTACTGCTCATAATCCAGAATTGAATCCACTATTGGCCCACATCCAGTATCTACAGTATGTAGTTTGGGATGGGTTCCCTGCAGAGGATTCCGCTACACAATAATGTCGCAGGTTTAATATCTTCTCACTCCAAGGTTATGGCACAGCAGTAAGTGTGTGTGTGTGTGCACATCTGTCTCAACTGGGTATTTCCATTCAACACAATCTATTCCTCTTAGCACACATGGCTTTCAAATGCTGCGTTGATGCAAACATAGGCTGCAAGAAATAAACAAGCTTTATGAGGGACTTATCGCAACAAATCCTCTGAAATCCAATCGTAGATGTCACATCCCAGCATGTCTTCATGTGACGTGCGTTTTTTGCTTTCATGGGGGAACGTGAGGAAAATGAGGGTGGGTTTGTGCCAGTTTTGCGGGATCACCCTTCTTATGCGTTGTTTGGGTGGGTTGGTGTCTTATAAGTGTTCGTGCACGTCTGGCACACTCAAGAGTCAATCACTCAAATCATCCCGGACGAAAAGTCAAGGTTCACGTTGTGCCAGCGAGCAACATTTTAATGCAAGAGACCAGAACATCCTGAACAATCATTGTGCCCAAAGTTTGGGTGTTGGGTGGATTGAGCTTCTTGGTTTTTTTCTGCACCATCTGCTACCGCACCACCGGGAGCAAGGCTAATGTAGGCAGGTGCACACACAAAGCACTGCCCCCAGTAGAAGTGCAGTACATCTCTACATTGAAAAAGTCAGAAAGTATCTGTTATAATTTGCTGCTGATGAGCATTACCCGCCTGTGTTGGTCTGCTTAGTAAGTGTAATCGCACCCTAAAATGATTAAATGTGAAAGTAGCTGGTATTCATAAACAGATCATCACTTTATTGTTAACCTTTTTGACCAGAGTATTAAAACCGTGCCTCAGATATCAAAACAAAAGCGGGTGCCAAATAAAACAGTGGCAGATGAGAGTGATATGCACTTATCCCTCTCCGATTATTTAATCCTCTGGCTCGAAAAAAACCCAGCTGTGAAGAACCAAAACCCAATTGTGACAGATAAGCAGCTGGACCAAAATCAGCTGACTTGGAGCTTGGACTGGGTTCAAGCCTGCGCAGCGATCGGATACAGAGAGTGCTACCTCATATCATGACGGGGGCGTTACTCAGAATGAAGCCGCTGACGCTGCAAGGTCACCGAGCAGCGTTTGTTTAAGCCCTGACACATGACGCGTGATTAACGTATATGAAGCTCGCGGTGGAGTCGGCTGCCTCACGTGACACCCAAACGTTCCGAGCTGCGGTGGATTCGTTTTCATAATTAATGTAAAAGACCACTCACAAAAACAGAATGCAGTACCAATTTCTCTCGTTTAATTTAGCTCGCTGTATAACGTGTGTGCATACATGAGTGGTATTGATGTTCTAATTCTAATCCAACCAGTTAACTCTCAGCAAGAAATTAGCCTATTTTCCAAAATGTCAAACTGTTCCTTTGAGTTTTTATTTTCGGTCACCAATAAACTGATAGTTTCAGCCCTACGATGGACTCTTATTATTATTATTATTATTATTATTATTATTATTATTATTATTATTATCTTATTGTGTCCTCTGGTTCAAAAGGATAACTGAATGGGGAGACAGCTAAATCTAACACAACACACATACCACAAATATTAACAACAAATTCAACCCTTCTTTTAATGTTCGAGTCTCATATTATTTTCATTATGGATTTTTATTTCCAATATGAAACAGCTGTTTAAGATTACAGCGGGGATAAACTGCTGCTATTCCTTGAGAGTTCTAACATCTACATTCTTTAATCAATGAATGTGCAAGGAGATAGTAAATGTTTAAGAACGTTTACCTGCTTTGACAGCTATGCTCACCTTTTGTTTTTTTTCCTTTTTTGATGTTGATCATAATCTTTTTTTTTTTTTTTAAATGTAATCCTGTAAGGATTCATACAAATTTGTTTTCCGTCTACAGCTCAGTGGCTGTGATTTGAGGAGTGACATGTTGACTCAGGTGGGATGGGAGTTAAGGGAGATAAGTGGAAAATGTGTGAGTGAAAACCCTTACCCATGAACCCAAGGACAAGCATGGGCTGGGGACAGGTTCTCCATTCTTTTTGCAGAAGGAAAGATGGCAAAGAGAGAGTGAGTGAGCATTAATGAGAGGTAGGGAAGGAGTGGCGCAAACAGGATGGGGAGGGGGGGTGGAGTCAAGTCCCAAATCCAACTTATGCCTCTTAGGAGGGGTTGATCAAGTAATGACATGGGGCTTGTTAGATTAGGCACCAAGGTCAACAGGAAATGAGAAGTGCCGAGAGAGGATCAGCAGAGAGAGAAAACAGAGAGAGCGATTGCTGAAAGAGATGAGAGTCATGGAGAGTCACCGAGAGAGCATACATCAGCGAGGGCGGATAAAAAGATGGGTTTGAACTCAAGTGTCCATGGCATGTAAGAGGGTGAAGACGCACATGGGATGTAGGCCCCTGAGTCAATCAGAGGAAGTAGTTTTCATGTTTTGAGTCTGAGGACTTTTCTGCCATAAAGAGATAAAGGGCCAAAGATCAAAGCAGTTAAGTCAATACTCAATCAATCAGGCTAAGTCCCGCCGTTGCTCAGAAACAGATGGTGCTCTCTTTGCAGCGTCATTTGGAAACAAACATCTCCCAAATAATGCAACAATGGAAGCATGTAGGAGCAGAGCATGCACACTGGGAGAGGAGCATGCCGTGGTTTGAGTTGTCTCAATCTGTAAAGAGGATTTTGTGGCGCATGTTATGGCCTGCCAAGGATCGTCCTCTGAGGGGCATCTGCAGCGTCTATGAGGAAAGCCCACTGCTGTGTCTGGGACTGATGATCAAAGAATGTGTCCTGACAACAGGGATTTAGCATCATCTGCATGTAAGGAAGGTGCGTGACATTTAGACCTGCTCATAAACAGGCTCACAGATAATCTCTCTATTATTTTTGCTTCTGTTTGACACATATCTATGTTAACGAGGAAATGAGGCTGGCTGGAAATAACCTGACTAAAGACAAACGTTGCTCCCGCCGCCTTTTCTCTCCAAAAACAACGCAATTAATCGGGTAGAAATGTGACTGACAAGGTTGCCTGAACATGACACAAGGAGCCGGTGTAAGATTTGCCGCAGTTGTGCAAGCGTTCCTCAACCCCAAAAAACTAATGAAAATTGCAATTCTTTAAAATCTGCCTTTGTGCGCATTTAAAGTGCTTTCATGCAGAGGAGGTAAAAGTACTTTTTTTCAGCCATAAGTAGTCCGTGTGGTCTAAGGGAACCAGCATTTAGTCTGATAGTCAAAACCCAGGGGAAACAAAAACGGAAATCACTCCCTACACCACAGCTTGCTGCTCGTTATGCTTAATTGCTGTGATGGTGTGGTAATGAGGGGATTTAAACGAGCCGTTTTTGCAGAGACCATTTCTATGATAGAAAAAAGTAAGAAAAAATTGTTGAATTACATGTTTTAATGCTGCAAGCAACATAACCCTACATTATATCTGGATGGCTGCAGGGATATCACAACCTGTGCAAATAAAACTAATAGATAAGACTCAAAGCACAGTAAGTAAATGTGGTTTTTTTTTGTAATTTGGATGAACTGACCATTGAAGTATAAGAGTTAACATCCTGGTTATGTGCTGAGAAAATACTCACTCTGCATTGGGGCGAAGAAGACCTCCGACATGGGTGCAGCCTTGGTCCATTTGTACTGCGGGACGGGTTTCCCATGACTGGATTTACAGCTCAGAGTCACGTTGCCCTTCACCACTGAGTTTCCTGTCATGGTGCACACTGGGGGAGAAGGAGGGACTGTCGACAGACAGACAGACGGACGGACAGAGTGTTAAGATAAGAACACAGGATCAATAAGCTTATAATTAACTTATACGTAAGTTCTTTAATCCACTGCAAACAAAGTGGAGATTTTTTTTTCGGGGCTGCAGCCCTATTGCATAAAATTAAGAAAGAAGTTTTGATCCCACATTGTTTCCATCTGTTGCTGGAGGATGACATAATGACTTCAGAGCCAAGTGAATCCCTAAACAGCATGAGTCAATATTTGGACGTTGCTTGCTTTCATAAATACACATTTAACAGACCGGTCTGATCCGAAATCCTTTAAAGCATTTACTTTGCCTGAATTTCCACCAATCCGATGGAAACTGTGTGAGCTGTGTGTCACGGGCCGCTCTGATTAAATCTGACCTTTGAAGTTCCTCTGACGATGTGGTCTATTACCTTTGACATTTAGGTGCATTTGTCCGGAAATGCCATCACTGCCGGGGATGATGACAGAGCATAAGTACTGCCCGGAGTCCGACTCCTGGGTGTTGTTGATGTAGATGGAGAGGTTGGCTGAAGGCATGGCCGCACTGAAGCCCACTCTTTTGTTGAACTCATTCTGGCTGTGGCCGACTTTGCCTAAGCTAAAGGTTATCACCTGAACAGAAAGAAACGCATCCAATGGTGACACTGCACATCATTGGCCCTGTTAATTATTAATACTCATAACTAGATCAACATTTGAGTCTGACACTTTTTGTGAAATACAACACATTCTTAAAAGAAGGTGCTAGAGAGACTTTTCTCTCATTTGAGTGAAATATGTATATTTATTTTGTCTGTGGCCATATTAAGATGTGCAGATTAACCATATAACAGACATCAACGTCCTTCATGAAGATAATCCCGACATGTACAGATGGTGGATGTGGAATTTTAGCCTGATTTTCTGTTTGAGATAAGCTTGCAGGCGTCAGACACTGAAATTGTTTAGATTATATTAATCATGCAAAAGACCCTACACACTCTGACTGACACACACACAGAGTACGTGCAAATATGTACAGTTTCACCAGCAATTCGTGTCACGTTTCAGAGGTGCACTAAAAAGAGATGACATGTCATTAGTGGCATCCTTTACTGAATGACATCCGTCTTTCCGTCCACTATGAGTTAGATATGTGGTGGCAATAAGTCTAATCTCTCCAGATCACTGGGTTTATCAGCATGTATACATTATGTCATGCAGTACAAAATTACGTAAAATTCAGAGGCAACATGCCTCGTAGTACTTGGTCTTGTTCATAAATAAGAATTCCTCAAACACATTTTTTTATTGATATAGTAAAAGGTTACTTAAATAGGTTTGCTATTCTTTGCAAGGCTGCAAGCAACAATTGTTTTCTTTACCAATTTGTCAGCCAATTATTTTCTCAATGAATCTATCCAAAAACAAAAAGGCAGGTGAAAAATCTTACAAATAGTTTAAACTCAAAGCTCTTTTTAATTAAAATGATAGAAAACAGGAAAGCAGATCTTCACATTGGTAAAGCTAGCAATCGTCAAAATAGTTATCCATTCATTGTTTTTAACTGTCATGTCTTTGTTTTGAAGGTACAAGACTTCCATGATAGTAGTAGTAGGATCAGCAAACACACTGTTCTTTATGTTAATCCCTTAAAGAGGCTCTCCTTTCTTTCCTCCAAAGGTCAGAGCAGGGTCAGCCAAACAGCAGATCACTGCAGACTGATGCTTTGACCTTCTCACCTGCTTGGATTCTTTTCCCGTGAAGTGCCAAAGCACAGAGTTTTGGGAAATGTCTGAGATGGGGCTGTACCAGGCATGTAACACCACCATCTGGCCCTTGACCACCTCCATCTGTCCTCTGGGGATCTCCACCTCCTTGGTGTCACCTGGAACAACAACAACGGGACCGGTTAATCACCGAGCACATCCTGTGTCACGCTTCAATCGTATGTATAGAAATGTTTGTTTGTGTTTGTTTCATTTCATTTAAGATTATTTTTTTTGTCTTTGCATTCCCAGCTCCCATGTGTTTCATGTGTTTTAGTTATTAATTAAGCTACTGATTATTTTGTCAATACAAAATTTGCCAAATATGACATCTTCAAACATCTTGTTTTGTCCCACCAACAGTCAAAAACCCCAAAATAATCAGTTTAAGAAAAGCAGCTAATCCTCACGTGTGTTACATATAGATAAATAAACATAATTAATGACATGGAAGTTTACTCTGGTGGCTGTAGATGTCTTTGTTGGAATGTGTCCATTTGTACAAAACCGATCAGACAGAAGAAAAACATAAAGAAACATCGCAAATTGGAGAAAATCAATAACCCAAATGAAATTCCTAACTGTGCCATCAGCCAATCGGATCAGTTCTAACCACCAACAACCTCAGGATCAGTCGACTCCCCTTTGACATCTTGACATGTTGTTCTTTTTGCTTCTGTACGTTCAGCGACCCCAAACCAAGGAGGGCAGACTCATCACATCGTATGGAAGCAGCCAAGGGAGACTTAAGAAGACATGTGCTTCAGTTGTAAATTTAAATAAAGCTGCATTTGAATTAGATGATCGTCTGTTAAAGTACATCTTTATATCCATGCATTTTACAGATAATAAATGGTTTATTTAGCTGCAGAGGACGTAGAAGTTTCCTAAGGTTCACCATTGGCTTTTACAGTATTGTATTCCAAAACTATACTGGTCTGCATGTCACATTCCGTTTGCTAAATGACTTCAGTCTCAATGATTTTCCAGACACAAATAACGCTCAACACACAAAGCAAGTACATTTGATTTCAGCTTATCTTAAGGATAGAATGTAAAGTGAGGGCAGTTTAGGTGCATGGATTATGAGGGGTTTAAGGACGCATGCCTGCAAATTCCAAGAAAGTACAAAGCAACCGACAAGAAAATGCTTAATATTATTTTCATATCGGCAACATGAGCAACAAAAGGAAGGAATGAATGGATGAAGACAAGATGTCCAACTCACAGGGTGTCCAATCACCCGACCCGGACAGTGGAAGCTGGATCAGCTGATCCCCGCAGTCGGTGTCCACTTGTGTCTCCAGTTTGATTGGTGAAAAGAAAAAAACTGAGGCAAAGAAAATAGTGTTCTTGCCACTAAATCCTTCCACGGCAGACAACACAGTGAGAAGTGTCCCTCATGTGCTCAGATGGATATTTGGTTAAAAGGAGAATACACAGAGGAAGAGAGGGAGCGTTATGGTCCATAGACGGCCGGCCAGCTGAAATCTCCACATCTGTTCAGCCAGGCACGCCTACCTTCTTTTCCACACTGACAGCACGTAGAGGCAGGAGAATTAGGAGATTGGATGTGGGGCTTGGCTGAGTGTGCATGCGAAGAGTAGAAAAGTGTGTGTGTGTGTGTGTGATTTTAGGGCAGAAAGCATCAGAGAAAGGGAGAAACTTGTTTTTTGACCTATAGGTTCGCTGCGGTGACTCAGGACAAAGTGACCCCGGCGCTGTGGAGCTCCTGTCCCTTAATTTCTGAATCTGGTAAATCCTGTTGACTAATCCCGAAACAATCCCCGGCTAAATCCTCTCACCTCACGTGAGCAAAAGAGCTCAGCGGGACATGGATATGATCTGACACATGGTCGCTTCAGCCACCAACGCTGCGGGCACTGCCATCAACATCCTCATCATCATCATCATCATGGCCACAGAATTTACATTCAATAAACGAAGATTAGCAGACCGCTTTGCTTTACATTTAATCATTCGTCATGCGACGCTTGTGGAGTCTGCACGGTACGAGTTTGAAATGACGCATCCAACATGTGAGCAAAATATGCACTTAATAAAAAGGACATTTTACTAATCGTACAGTAACGATAACCTTTTCTTTAAAAGTGCAGTTAAATTAGTCTTCCTTCCTACAACCCCGCCCCAGCACTCAGAACCAACATGTGGATGTGATGTTATGGTCACACTGTGGGTAATACATACTTTTGTTTTTGCCGAGCGATTGGACTACAAACAGTGTTTCAGAGAGGTGCTGCTTTTTGTCAGTGGTGGGCCGTCAGCGCCAGCAAGGCCTTCTCTGCTGGCCTAAACATAATCACAAAGTTATAGCTATTTTATAATTTAATAATTTTTCATAAATACACTTCATGTAATGTAATTTATAAAAATATTTTTCTCACTATCGCCTCAGTTTTAAAGAGCAGCGTTGCAGTGAGGTGCAGCGTGTGCTGTGATTGGTCAGTGGGCGAGCACGTGACTATCGCGAAACGAAACTTAAGGAAGCCAGCAGAGCTTAGTCGGAGTAGTGAGAGTTCAAATTGAAAGATATTGAAGAAATGCTGACATTTTTTGCATTTTGCTTGGTGTAGATTATTATAATTTTTTTAACATAGCTTTGTTTTTTAACACTCAATGGCTGAAGGAGGAGAAACGGATTTGATTTGGGATTTAACCATGGGATTAAACTCTTTGTCAACAAAGAAAGGAGGATGGAGTTTGTCTTTAAGAGATCAGCATTTGGTAAGTCAACTGCGTTTGTTTTTTTACATCTAATATCTGAATGGCCCTCGAGTGTGTAGCAGAATGCGTGTTGCTGCTGTTGTTTTCCCGTTACGCTAGTTTAGCATAGCCTCCCAGAACACGTGCGGTGCCTCAGCTGTTTTTTGTTTTTTTGTTCCGGGTTCAGAGGTCACAGCCCGTTGTTTCCTATGTGAGCGCAGAAAACATTATATTTCCCACAATTTAAGCTTCTGCATTTTCCAAATGCACTAGTATTATTTAAACGTATTGTTCGGTTTGTAAGCCGCGTACCGAACGGTTTAATACGAATACGTGTGTTCAGCTGCAGGACAGCAGTGAAGGCCCAGGTATGAAATGCACGGCCCGCCACTGCTTTTTGTAGTCATGCAATAGTGTACACAACATGTGGATGGCACATAATTGGATTAATAACTTCTCCCTTTTCAAACACAGTGAGTGTTACAGTAAAGTTGAACCTGCCAGGACAATCGCACTGAAATAGGAAACCCATTCTTGTCCACAGAGAGCGTTATGATGACTGTACCTTTACAAATGTGTGAATTAAGAAACGGATGTTTTCTAGATCAGCCGTGTTGCTTCGAGTCTAGAACCACGCTAGCTGCTTTGTGAGTCTGTACTTTAGCAGTGACGCAATGTAAAGATATAGTGGAGTAATGTCTGCCCTCCGGTAAAAACTGCTGTCTCAGCACTTTAGCTGTTGTTTAGCGTGCCGTTAGCATCGTTAGCTTCTATCCGCCAGCTCCCATGTTGAACAGATATAATCTCAACTTTGCATGTGGTGATTTCTTTCTTTGTTCTACAGATTAGGGTTATCATATAATACCACCGCGCCCCTCTAGTGGGGCGCGGTGGTATTACAGGTGGGGCGCAGGGGGAAATGCAGAATTATTTTATTTAAAATTTTTTTTTTTTTTTTTTAAGCAATTAATAAATACATGGTGAAATGCCTGTACTTTCGTGTAAATGTTTACGTTACGCCGTTAACAGGTTACGCTTGCGCATGCGTGACGGCCATGATCCTTGGCGACTCACATGTGTGGCTTAGTGTTCCAAATGAAGAGACATTTGGCAGGCGGGAACAGAAAAGCAACCGCAAGCGATGCATCCGAGACGAACAGCAAGCAGCCAAGAAGAAAATATGATGACGCCTATCTTGCTCTGGGTTTCACAGTGAACGCGGTAGGAGATGAGGAGAGACCAGTCTGCGTTTTATGTCTGAAAACTCTAGCTGCGGATAGTATGAAACTTGTTTTGTTTAGTTTTTCACAGGTTGCACTATATTGTTATATTGAAAAGATGTTTAGTGCAAAACAGGTTAATTGCAGCCAATTGCAATAAGCAATTTTTTGCCAAATTGTAGTTCTTTTTTGCACAGATATAACTTTATTTGCATTGTTCTAACAAAGTGATTGCAATTTTCTTTATTCTATTTGAAAAAGCACAGACGGAGGAGTCACAAAATGTTATTTCAATAAAAATTCAACATAGACCATTTTGTTACAATTTTGTTGGGGCGGTGGGTCATGAACGTTTTTCTTCCTCCAAAGTGGGGGTGCGACAGAAAAAGTTTGAGAACCACTGATATAGTATATCATAAACTTTACAGGTAGTTGTCATGAACCAAAGTATTGGACACATTTTAAATTTCTGGCCTGATGATGAAACATTATGAGCATTAAACATTCAAAAAAGTCAACAAAGTTATTACAATTCCTCCTGAGTGGGGTGTGAATGTCTGCACACTTTCATCAGATAGATTAGATATTTCAGTCCGGACCAAAGTGGTGGGCTGCCATTGCTATTCATAAAGTGAAAATCCATGGCAATGCTGTCATCATCTACACATGATAAGATGTCAAAGCCTGTGAGACATTAATGCAAAAAAAATCATTCCTCTTATCATAAAACATGTCTTCATATCCAGCATTTCCTCATGTCACAGGACATGCATGCGTGAGATTAATATCTTTATCATCACCATCGTTCCTGCAGTTGCCTGCTTTTTCATGCATAATACATAGCAGCTCCATCTCTTTTTTTTTCCCAGATTTGAAACATAGTTTTTTCCTCACAAATCCTGTTAGCGCTCCGATTTCATCTCCAGGAGCTATTGTGATTGCTGTGAATCGGCGTGCGTCCGCTGTAACAATTATGTAACGGCACGGAGGGAAAAGGCCACGTTCGGGAAGAGGCTGCGATTGTGTCTACATGAAAGCTCTCCTCATGTAAATGCTATAAAGTGCCGCGCAGGCCGATTAACATGCATTGTGTACCGGAGACACAATCAGAAGGGATCAGGTTCTTCTGTAGGTCGATGGGAGTTCTTCATGATATTGATGATATTCCATGATGA